CACCGCACTGAATGAACCAGGTTCATAATATCTGGGATTCCAGGGCTACAACTACATAGAAAAACAGTACCACTGGCTTAAAGTGTATTTAAAGTGTATTGACTACATTTAATCAATATCCAAATTCACCCAATTATCCAAAAACTCAAATGCCACTCTACTACCTGTAGCTATAAGGAAGATGCAATCTTATATCCGGTAGTTTAGATTTAGTTTTGTCAGACAGCTTATTTTAACTTCCACTCAAAAGTCATCAAGAGAGAAAATGTTAAAGGGGATTACCTCATAGGACTTTGTGATCTTGATAAACTTATCCTCTGCCTCTGGGTTTTTATTCTTATCTGGATGCCTTGAAGGAAAATAAAAAAAAATAAGTTGTACTGAGGTTTATTGTGGACGTACTTGTAATGACACATTAAAGACTTCCTTTAACCAAAAGTATTAGGAATGTGAGAAAAGCCATACTCAAGCCACAATTTCCCACTGAGGAGTCTTTGAAAGACAGAACTGTCACAGTGCAATTTAATCACTGTGACCGCAGCAGCAGAATATATTTCAGACTTACTCTTGGATACTCTCCTTGAAATTATCTTATTAAATTGGTGTCACACAAAATACCCATTTTTTTATATCTGGCTAAAGTCTGCCACTCTCTCGACACTGCAACATGTGCACTTATGAAGATTTTATATGTGGTATTTTTTAATATTTAGGTAGCCAATCAGGTACATTTCAGGTTTCAGACACAGCGATAACTGCTAGATACTTGTAATCTGTAACTGACATTACATCTGTAAGTAGTGACAGCAGCTCTACAATAAAACCTCCAGCCACACAGACGTTAGATCCTACAGTAATATGCTTTAGCAGACTGCAGACGTCTGTCATCCAGGCAGTGGATAGAAAGTCCAGGCTTTAGAGAGATAGGATGGACAGCTGTGAGTCACAGTGGCCCCGGGCTCTCATCTGTTTGTTCATAATACTTTTAAGAAGCCCAATCACCTGTCTTTCAAGATCTAAATCGGCTGCTGCAAATTCTCCAAGAATCTGACTCCTGCCAACTGGAGTGCCCCATGTCAAAGTTTACTGGGCAGTTCAGCGTCAGCAGAAGGAAAGGACCGATCTGTTCTGTTCAGAGCCCAACAACTGCAAGAGGCTCTGTGGCTTTCTGTGGCTCTCCACAGGGACAGGAAAGGAATCAAAGCTGAACAACCTGCCAAAACTGACACAACAAGGGTGTATTTCTATTTGATGGAAGGGACCTCAGGCAAAAAAAACCTCTCTCTCATTAAATAGGGAGTCTGTATTTTACCATTGGTACTATACATTGGTCGAAGATATGAGCGAATTTAAATAAGCAGGAATTCTGATTCTATCTGCTTCTCACCATTCTTTGGCCAGGCGTTTATACACCTTCTTGATTTCAGCCTGACTGGTGCTCCTGGAGACCCCCAGAACCTTATAAGGATCAAATTCAGCAGCACTCTCCACAGAAGGACTGAACAGCAGCAGGCAGAGAGACAGAATAAACAGCAGGGTCAGGAAAACCCCCTTTAACCAGGTCATCTTCTTGTGGCTGAAAACACAAGGGAAAGAGAGAGAGTCTGATTTGATGCATCCCTCTATCCTCTGTCAACAGCCACCTCTTCCTGAGAACACCAGATCCAGTCACAGATGCCCAGGGTGAAAGACAGACCCACGCCTTGGATGAGACAGCAGTCCAGCATGGAACAGAGAGACACAAGCACACAGGGACATTTTGAGATGCTAATTTACCTAGCCACTGCATCTCTGGGATGACTGGAATATCCAAAGCACAAGGAGAAAAACTCTCCAACCATGTCATGGAATGGGAATATTCAACCCATTCCTTATGGCAAAACTGGATCAGTTCTGACGTGTTCAGCAGTGATCACTGATCAACTGCAACTGTTATGGTTTGCTTTAATGCTTAATTCCTGCTTTTCCTGTTTTCTGGGAAGTTTTGGGGAACTCGTTTTTGAGTGTTCAACTCAACTCTTATGTTTAAGGTTGGGTGGCTTTTTGGTGGAAAAAAGCAAAGTCTCCTGCAATATGAACTGCTATGAAACCTAGCGTTTTTAATATTAGGCTTCAAAGACGGTAGTCCCCCATGTGTTCATTGGTTTGCTTGATTGTAATTTAAAATCCCGTTCATTTTAATATGTGATGAGAGGATATTTACAAACAAGAAAAATGTACATACAAATAAAAAAGGTTGTCTAATTTGTCCTGACGATTTTACCATACATTCCGTACGACTAGAAATTATAAAACGTAATAGTTTAATGCCTCACCATATTTATAATAATAACAGCCCAAAACGCACGATCTTACAGGACAGAAAACTCTGCTGAACTGAACACAAGATCTCCCGTGGTTTAAAAGACTCCAAACCATTTACAAAGTGTAATCAAATACATTTCAATACCTTGAAATACACTTCTTTCTAGGGACAGTAGGCAATGTAACACGCCAGTCTGGTTTGATAGCAGCTTTCTGGAACGCCACCATGGTGATACCAGAGCCCAGCTGAACTACCGATACAGTTTCACAATGTCAGGACATTAACATAGTTTTCAACTTAGACAAAACTAAAACGTGATTCCGCACAACACAAAAAATAAAAGCACACGATTTAAAAAGACGTTTAAAGTAAACGACGGTACCACTGGCGAAAGTAAGCATTTGGGAATTGCGGTTTTCTGTTTTCGTAGCCCTCGATTACAACACGGGACGAGTGACTGCTTGGGATATTCACATTACGACCTTCAGACGACAAAATAAAAACAGCATTTTTATGGTATGACCGACAGCTCTATAATGCACTAAACCGAAGAAATGCATTTCACCCAAAATAGAAAATAAAACTACTTATTCCCCGGCGCAGTTGTCAAACCTTGCAAACGCACCACAAGCAAATCGCTGGCTCAGTCGGTCCTGATCACCATGCCGTTACGCACCCTCGTCCCTTCTTCTGTTTTCTATCAAAATTCGCTCACGGGTCACTGCAAAAAATCAAAACACCGGCAATTTACTACAAGCATCCGAATTGCACGACTACGTTTTTTTAATCAAAACGCTTCCGGTCAACCGGCGTGATGACGTCATTACGCACTGGGCGTGGTTCAGCCATGCAAACACGGAAGAAAATAAAGGATGCTTTTGGAAGACAGCAAGAATTATTACGGAAGAACTTAGGAAAATGTAAAGAACGTTTTAATATGCTTAAGTGGGGTTAAAGGTGCTTGGCTACCGTAGCTTCGGTGAAACGCCCCTTAGTCTGTTAGTTTTCTTTTCGTATACGATTGCATGATGGAATTTCCTAACTTGAACAACTAAATTCCTGATTTTGGCATTTCGCTTTCGTTTCGGTTAGGATGTAGTTAGTGTTCGACGTCCAGTTTAGGCTGAACTGAGCTCACGTTAACAGGTTAAGAGTCTTAATCCGCCCCCTCGGGCTCTTGTTTGCAGAATGGATGGCAGGCACAAGAAGATATTACAGAGTAATCGATCCATGCTTGTCCAGCAGTTGGATCCCTCAAAACTGTATGATGGACTTCTGTCAAAGGGCGTCTTCACTCAAGACATGATTGATGAAATACAGGTAGGCCTTTAACACACTCAACTGGCCCATTCACAACCACATTTTGAGGTGCCTCGGTTATAAAATAATTCCAACACTGCTGGGAACGTATCCTTGAGATATTGGCAATAACCAATACATTGGATTAAATAATCAGTGTCATCTCCTTATTTTACAGTTTTCACAGTGTTTTCTTCATATGCACCTTAATTTATGTACTCTCTGGAGGAATGTGTTCTATTGTTACAGAGGGTCATACAGTAACTAACAGGAATCTGCAACCTCTGTCATAGAGCAGCCACTGTCCTGCTGGTTTCCATAGTAGCTTTAAATAAAAGTAAGTAATTAATTGATTGAGGACAATCAGAGTATAGCAAAGGGTCTAAAAGCATGTCATTACTGGCTATACAGTATATAAATGTTTTTGTAATAATATTCCAGAGATCTGCACAAATAGTCTTGAAGAGCCACAATCTCTCTTTGTTTGAAAATTATATTGAAAGGTGCTGACCCATATAAAGGTCATTATTATTAGAAATAGGAGATGCAAGATCTCCAAGACAAGATGTGTAGATCCCTGGAATGTAATCTCAAATATATATAGTCAGTAGTGGAATAACTGTTGAGACATGTTGCCTAACAAAAAAAAACAATAGCCTGAAAGGCAGTTCTCTAATCCTTTTTGGTAGGTTCCTCAATAAACAGGCAGAACAAACTAATAAGTATAGACCCATGTCACCTCGAT